CTTGAACTCTGACTAAAGGCCTTCCCACATTGATTGCACTTGTGGGGCTTCTCTCCAGTGTGAATTCTCTGATGCTGAGTTAACTGGGGGCTCCGAGTGAAGGCTTTCCCACATTCATTACATTTATAAGGTTTCTCTCCTGTATGAATGATACGATGTTGAATAAGATTTGAGCTTCGACTGAAGGCCTTCCCACATTCACCACACCCAAAAGGTTTCTCTCCAGTGTGAATTCTCTGATGGAGAAGGAGGTAGGAATTGAGCCCAAAAGTCTTCCCACATTCATCACATTTAAATGGTTTATTTCCAGTGTGAACTCGATGGTGCAGAATAAGGCTTGACCTGCAAGTGAAGGCTCGGCCACACCGGCCACATTCATAAGGCTTTTCCCCAGTGTGACTTCTCTGATGTCTATTTAGGTCTGAATTATATTTGAAGGTTTTGTTGCATATATCACATTTAAAGACTCTCTCTCCTGTTTTATTTCTTTGAAGTATAACAACACTCTGGTTCAGATTCAAATTTCTATCAAATGCACTACACTTCTGGTTTTTTTCTCCTGGAGAGCTTTCCCTATCTACGACAGCTTCTTTTATAAAAACTCTTTTGTAAAGATGAGGTTTCTTCAAACTCTGCCCAACAGCATTTGCCAGGTGCTCTTCTAGTTTATGTTCCTGGTCCCAAGCTTCCTGAAAATCAGGTGCCTGTGGATTACCCCTTAAGAATCTTCCTGATATAAATTCTGGGGTTTTTACTTCTTCAGAACATTTCTGGTTTAGAATGGATAGTTCCTTCTCAGTCCCAATCTCAGAATCTGTTACATAAAAACATAAATGAATTACTAGAGAAAACCATCCATCAGGGATTATATCCATTATGTGTTAAAAGCTCCTATAAATCATTATGCAAAAGGTAGATACTCCAATAGAAAAATACGTGACAGGTAGAATCCAGAACTAAAGATGGCCAATCAACAGAATAAAAATATTCAAGTCCATTGGTTATCAAAGAAATGGAAATAAAAACAAATTATAATTTTTCACCTATAAAATTGGCAAATTCATTCATTCAACAAATATTTAGAAGGCCGGCCATGTTCTAGGTAAGGAATATAACAGGAAGACAAATACTGTGTCTGATTTCATGAAGCTTATGTTCCATTCAGGTGGATAATTAAGCAAGTAAATTTTTAAGAAGAATTATAAACCATGTGACACAGAAATTATTTAGAAATATGTAGAAATGCATCATGGCCTCCAACCTTGTCTACATGGTCAAAGAAGATTCCAGGAAGAAATGAGGTTTAAGCTGAAGCCTAACAAGGACAATTTAGCCGGGGCAGGCAAAATAATCACATTCAAGAACTAAAGAGCCTCACGATGGCTCGAGCAAGAAGTGTGAGGGGGAGAGTGCGGCAGCAGGAGCCAGGGACAGACATGGAAAGCACTGCAAAAAGGTGGAGAAGTTTTGACTTTATGCCAAAGACTTAAAAAAAATAATAATACCCAGAACTGAAGAGAACTGAAGAAACAATCACCTCCATATACTGTTGGTGGAACCGTAAATAAACATGACTTTTAAAAGGGAAAGATGAGGTATAGGGTGTTAGAAAACTAAAAATAAAAAAATAAAAGGGAAAGTTGGCAATATGTACCAAAAGAATTGATACATTACACACTCGTTGTCTCTAAAATTATTCTTCTAGGAATTTACCCTAAGTGGATAGTCAAATGTACAAAAAAAAATGACTACTATGAGCAGATGAAGAGCTCCTTATAATTTGTGGGGAAACAAGAAAGAACACAAATGTCCAAAAATAGGGGGTAGTTTAAACCAATTATAGAATACTCACATAATGGAATACCATTCTGCCATTATAATTGTATAACAGAAGGATATATGTTGATTAAATGAAAAGTCTATCATATATTATAAAGTGAAATATCGGGTTTTAAAATTATATGTACAACATAAACCAACTTCTACTGCAGGTATAAGCAAGATAGTTGCTATTTATTTCTTCATTAAATGTTTGGTACAAGTTGGTGAAGCCATCTGGGCTTGGCATTTTCTTTAAGGAAGGATTTTTAAATCATGAGTCAATTTTTTTTTTTTTTTGGAGACAGAGTCTCTCTCTGTTGCTTGGACTAGCAACCTCAAACTCCTGG